TCTATTCTATTCTATTCTATTCTATTCTATTCTATTCTATTCTATTCAAGTGGAACAAAAAAGGTTGTGGTAGCAACATTTACTGTATTCAACCACTTCCTTTGATTGACAAAGGATCTGGAGTAACTCACTGCCGGTGTTACAAAAAGTGTGTGACATCAGTTTCTTGCATTAAATGTTTTTTCACATGAAGTTTCATGTTGCTTAAGTTAACTTAAGTTTTAGTCTCTTCTATGTCAATTCTTCTAGATAACTTCCTTTTCTAAAACTATGCATCCTATTGTTGACACACAAGCAGTTTGAGAAGAGTCACTAAAGATGCTCATGTGGTTAAATTTTTCAAATCATAATCGCCATACATTGCAGTAGTTGGCCTAAATTTTATTTATTTATTTATTTTTGTTTATTTATTTATTTTGTCAAACACAATATAATAGAAATAAGAATAAACATAAGTATAAATACATGAAATAGGTACTATTAATTGGAGGCAATAGGTCAGGGACAGTAGGCACGATTATGTACTTATTCAATTGGTGGGGATCCTTTCCAGAAATTTAAAGCATTTGCAAACATCAAATTTTCATATATTTTTTCTCAGCCAGTAGTCACACAAAGTTCTCTTGTTTTTCAACTTACTTTCTGGTGTTTGCCAAGTAACCACTGGACTCCAGTCACTATAACGGCCAGCAAATCCACTGTCTGGACTTGGCTTGCTTCTAACCCTGGCAATATACCTGCTGCCAGGCACAAGGCTACTGTGTCGGAGACAATAATGAGACTTATTTGACACCAATACAGAGGAAGATTCCTAGAGTGTATAAGGAGAGAGATTGGTATGAAAATATGGGAAAAAAATAAACACATTTATGTGTTCTAGGAAAAGAAACACTCTAAACTTATTTTTTATTTAATGCAATGAGTTCCTTTTTCAAATATTGGGTATTAAATATCTTAGAACATCTAATTTATGTGATGGAAAATTATGGAAAATTGTAATAATATTGGGTGGGAATATTTGTTTCTCTTCTTAACTACAGTAATTTTATGGGTAAGCTGCCCAGAGTCATGTTTGTAGATGGATGGTTATAAACATTTAATGACTAAATGAACAAAATTAATTTTCTCCTCCCATTATTTTTGGGAATATAAATAAATTGGGGGGGGGGGTATTTTAAAAAATAAAATGTTTGTATTTAAGTTTACAAGAGGTTTTCTGTACTTATTTTATATTGGCTTCTTTTTAAAAATAAATTGTGCACTATAGTTCATCCTGACCTTATTGAATGTTGATAGCCCAGTGTTAGGGGTCCAGGGTCTACTTGGGTCTTCCCCAACTTGGTTGGGGAACCAACTACTACTTACAAACACCAGATTGTGGCTTGTCTATATTAAAAATAAACTTCATAAATACAGCCATCTTCGGTTTCTGATTAATCTACTCATGTAGTTTTAGGATTCATCTCTGTTCATAGCCTGATCAGATAGATTATTTATTTGGCAAACTTTTAAAAGATCAAAGTTCAAAGAGATTAGGGATTCTGGGCTATCAGGAAGGAAGGAAGGAAGGAAGGAAGGAAGGAAGGAAGGGAGGGAGGGAGGGAGGGAGGGAGGGAGGAAGGAAGGAAGGAAGGAAGATGTCATAAGATATGGGTTTGTTTTTAAATTACAGATGAATACATCCATTCTATAGACTCCGTTCAAAATTTAATTTATTTTTGATGTGGAGGACATTCACTGCTTACTTCTAGTTTCCTAATATATTGTAAATATAAACAGAATCACTGTAGCTATGTGATTATAATGATTGCTATAGATACCTCCCAAAGTTCCCAAGTTCTTTTATAGCTTATTTCAAAATCCAGGGGAAGGCTTTGCAACAAGTGATTTCTGTTTGTTCCTCCACCTGCTTTCCATTCTAGTAGGAAATCACATTCTTCTGTGGCAGTGACATTTAATTTCTCAGGTGGCAGAAGCTGAACTAAAGAAAAAATGGAGGAAAGGAATAAGTTAATTCTTGCCCATATAAAAGTCACATATAGAAGGCCAATATTTTGCCCTTAAATGGTTGTATGAAAAACAAATGTCACTAGGAAAAACTTCTTATCTGTAAATATAGGGTGCTGTCATCAAATCTCAGTTTTCTGTACATTTACACCAGCATATCAAGAATTTTATCTAACCTGATTCCCCCCAGTTGGGTTTGATTTCAGTTCTGATTACAATATGACCAATAGTCATGCTTGATGATAATTATGGGAGTGTCAATGAAATATATCCGGAAGGCATTACTTAGGGAAGGCAATATTTAATGCAATAAAAATATCACTGTCATAGTCAGAAAAATGAGTAAGAAGCTAGACGGAACAGTCAAAATCTTTGATTATCAGATCATTGATAACTTTTCTGCATGTTCCATATAGCAATCTGGAGAAAGAAAAAAAGAGACTAACAATGCAAGCTCGGAATGCCATCTAATCCCATGGATCAAGTGATGAAAAAAACGGGTGTCAGCCTCCAACTTGTTAAATAAAGAGGATAGTAAGCTTCTCACAAATACTGTCAGGTCCTAGAAACCAGATCTGCATGTGAAAGGTTCAAGCTGATCCACCTATAGTACAAAAATTTCCCCAGAATGCTCATCTTCCCTTGGAACAAACAGTAAGATTTCATGGAAATTGGGGAGGAGGGGCAAGAGGAGAGGGTGAGCCCTAGTTCTCTTGTGGCTACACAATGACTCAAGGCTAACTACCCACTTGATCCCTCCTCCTCACCCACAATAGCCCTCTTCCAAATTAGTCGTGAGTGGCATGAGGGGGAGAAACCTCACAAAGTAAGAGCTAGGACTGGGCTTCCACTTGCATTTGCTCCAAATGGAAGCAAGCAAAGTTGGTACGACTATTTCAGATTCCATGGAACTCCTTGTCTAACTAACTCATTCCAGATGTTGTGCAGACCCTGCCTGAACTTGTCTATCAAAGCTGTTTCATTCCAATCTGCATCTGCTGCCAAAAACTTGAAATCGGCTATGTAAAGCCTCACCCTTCTGTTGCCTTGTCTGAGCTGCCAAATGTTGCAGCTGGCTCTTGCAACTCTTATCAGGTCTCCAAAATGACCCCTGAATCTGTCCATAAAGTTCTGGTAATTGTCCATGACTCAGTTTTTCATTCTATGATTGGCAGGACTCACTTAGCTGCCAATTCCTGTAACTAGCTTAACACAAAAGACACTCTTGTGTGCTCTGTAGGGAATGCTGCAGGTTGGGTTCCCATAAGCAACTCACACTGAGCAATTAAGGTTCTTATCTTGTCTGTTTTTCCCCCAAATCTCTCTGACAAGCCTCCATGGTAACCCAGCAAAATTAGCTATGCAGGTGGAACTGCGGAGGAGTAGCCATTGCTGCCAGGAGCAGGGCATTCTGGACTTGGTGCTGAATCAACTGAAGCATCATGGCCACTAAGTTCCTGGCTTCGTCTCCATCCCCTTCTGAGGCTGTAGAAAGGCATCCATCGCATTAGGAGCCAACCTAGCAGCTGCTTGTGAGTCCAAGACCATCAAGGTAAACTTTCCCCTTTCTTCAGGAGTGAGAGATGCGAGTCAGGTGATTAATGGCAGGCCCAAGCCACCAGATCCACACATGAAAGGTTGAAGGTGACTTTCATTGTGTTCTACCTATAGTAGAAGAAACTCTCCAGAATGCTAACTTTCCCTTAGAAACAAATAGTTAAAGTTCCATGGAACCTAGGGAGTGGGGCAGTTCTAGGTTTCCAATAACTCAAGGCTAACTCCCACTTGATCCCTCCTCCTTCCCTATCTGGGAATTTCCCAACAGTATAGTGCACAACACCAAGGTAGCTCTGAGAGAAATGAGTGGAGAAGCTTAGGTCTACAATTCATCTGGATAGAGCACCATTGTGCTTAGCAGTCAGTTTTAAGTGTCTACATCGGTAGTCCTCGACTTACAACAATTTATGTAGTGACCATTTGAAGTTACAATAGCACTGAAAAAAGTCTTGACCATTTTTTGCACTTATGACCATTGCAGCATCTGCATGGTCATGTGATCAAAATTCAGATGCTTGGCAACAGACTCATATTTATAATGGTTGCAGGGTTACTTGGGGTCATATGGATCACCTTTTGCGACCTTGCTGAGAAGCAAAGTCAATGGAGAAGTCATTTTTTAGCTGTATTATTAACTTAACAACTGGCGTGATCACTTAACAACTGTGGCAAGAAAGATTGTAAAATGGGACAAACCTCACTTAACAAATGTTTCACTTAGCAAAAGAAAGGTTGGGCTCAATTGTGGTGATAAGTCGAGGACTATCTGTACCTAATTCTTGGAATATAAGATGTGGGTTCTAGTTTGTGATTTTTTTACCATGCTACCTAACAACTAAGCTCGCAAGAAAAAGTCCCTTGACTGTGGTGTTTTAGTTCAGGGCTGTCAAACTCCCGGCCCACAGATCAGATGCATCACACTCTGGCCATGCCCATGCCTGGTTTAGCAAAGGGGGGGAAGTCTTGATATGTCACGTGATGCCACCATGACGACATGAGTTTGACACCCCTGTTATAGTTGGTGATCATTCTGAAGTTGCTGTACTTCAAAGTAGTCCCAGAAACTACCTTTTCATCAGGTGTTCAGGGTAGTCCCCTTTTAAAATTGTTTCAAATTACTTGAGCAGGAAAATTGGTCAGAGGGTCTCCACCTGATTAGAGGAAGGTGGACACAGAATATTTTCACATGAATATGCAGATACATACTGTTCTTGAAGAGGTCAACATTCAGTTGGATTTCCAACTTCCGATCAGGTTTGAAAATGAACGTATTAATCAGCATGGAATTGAAATTGGTTTCATTCCTCCTACAGTGCCAATGTATCTCAGCGTCTATTTTCTGGCTATTGCAGATCATCTTTGTGAGGTTTCTGAAAGCAACAGAGCTTGGTTTTATTGGGGGGTGGGAAAGCAACAATTTTTTACATTAACAATATGAATAATTCCATAATTAAGTCAATACCTTTATTATACTAACAAAGTTAATAAAGAAATGTGCATGCTTTCACATTCTCCATAATTCTTCCATCAAGCCAGACAGCATAAAATAGTTGTGGTTTGGACCATGGGATAAGGAATATAATAAACAATTACAGTATATAATAAATATATATATATATATATAT